TGATTTTCCGGAAAAACTGGCCAGTGTGGACACAGCCAGGGTGGCTGTGCTGGAGACCCTGGGTCCAGGCCCTACTGTGCCCTTGTGCAATGTCCCTTCATTTACTAATAAAACAACTGTAAAGGGGCTCAATACTGGATTGTCTCTAGGGCTGGGATTGTGAAGTCAGGGATAGTTACAGGGCTGGGAAGGCCCTGCAGATATAGTCTCAATGGGGGTGAGTGCAGGGCAGCTGCAGGTGACATGGACTGAGGGATCCATCTCTCCAGCCTCCCGCTCACAGTTCCCAGAGGCCACTTCCTCTGGCCACAGATCACTGCCTGCCATGCATGTCTAACTAGTGTGATTGCAATTCTCAGGCAACATGTTCCCCAGCAACTGTCCCCCTCCCGCTCCCTCTGCCAGTGGTCTCAGAGCTCTGTGTTTGTCCCACACCAGGTACCTGCAGGCCCCGAGTGCCAGCTCCCTTCCCACCTGCTGCCTTTGGGTCCAGCTCTCCCCTGGGGACAGGAGCTTGTTTCGTGCACCAAGGAACCCTGGCTGGGTGAGGTGAGGTTACCTTTGCCCCTTGGGCCCTGGCTGAGACCCCGGCACATTCCACACAAGGCCCTGAGGTGCCCCCAGATGGACTGTCAGGTTCTGTGTGGGGGGTGCGGGCGGGGCATTGGATCATTGCTCTGGGGGAGGGGGAGATTTACCTGCTCACAGCCCCATGGGCTGGTTTATACCTTAGTTCCCCACCAGGCAGGGAGCAGGGGCCAGCAGAGATTGTGGGGGAGGGCAAGACGGTTGGATCTCTGACGAGGAAGTGGGCTGCCGGGGAAAGGTGCTAAGTCACCCTGAGCAGAGCCAGGTTCAGGTTTCTGCTCTGGCTGAACTCACACTAGTTGCTTATTCCACCTGAGCCTGTTTCCCCTGATGCATGGACCTTAGTTCCCCACCAGGCAGGGAGCAGGGGCCAGCAGAGATTGTGGGGGAGGGCAAGACGGTTGGATCTCTGACGAGGAAGTGGGCTGCCGGGGAAAGGTGCTAAGTCACCCTGAGCAGAGCCAGGTTCAGGTTTCTGCTCTGGCTGAACTCACACTAGTTGCTTATTCCACCTGAGCCTGTTTCCCCTGATGCATGGGGAGGCTGAGCTCACTGGTAGGTAGGAGAGGCTCAGGCAGGGATGGGGCCAGATAAGGACCAGCAGTCCCTAACAGTGAAGCTGTTTCCTATCCCCAAAGCATCCTCCTGGGGCTATCCCAGACTTGGCAAGTTTCACACGTGCTCTGTCACCAGCTGGTGTTTCTCCTAACACCCTAGTGCCTGGCTCCTGGGGTTCTATGACAATCTCAGCACCCACCTTAACCCCCAGCCACTTTCTGGCTCTCCTGACTGCACCGGACAGGTTGGGAATGTGACCAGAGTGACTCCTGTGCACCTGGAAAGAAGCAAACCCCTCAGACTGTCACGTGTAGAAAAAAAGCCCCTCGTCTCTCCTGCAGCCAGCCTCAAGGTCTCTGATTACAGGGTGTTGCTGGTGCGGATCAGTTTGTGCTTTTCGGCCTGGCTGCTCCAGCAAACGGCTCCATGGACAGAGCTGGACAAACGCACATTCTCATGTCTCTGTTTAGCTCACTCCCAGTTCAAGGGGGCTCTGCTCATTTGCTGTTTGGGCCACCACCCAGCTCCGGGCACATTTCAGCCCCTGTGCTGGGAGGAGGGGGGGGTCATTGGGGTTTTACAGGGACATCAGCATCCTCCTGCCCTACTGGGCTTGCAATGGGTCTGTGCACCTCAGAAGCCACCTGCTGTAGGACAGACCCAACCAGGAAAGCAAGAGAAGGCCCCTAGCTAATACCTACAGCCGCCAGCTAGAACTTCTCCAGCACATCAGCAACCTCTCCTCAGTGACAATTATAGGACCAGAACCCTAGTGGGACATTTTTCACCAAAGCCTCCAGGGCTGAATTGTTTCCATTGGGACCTTTCCAACTCAGTAAACAGCCTGAGTCAGTTCCAGGAAGGAAACGCCCCATTGCTGCCGTAGGCCAGGCGCAGTGTGAGCTCAGGAAACTGAAATTAACCTTGTTCCCCAGCCCAGAGGCAGCCATGGCTGCAGGGAGCCCTGTGGAAAATCTCTGGGAAGAAGCAACTTGTCCTCTCTGCCTGGAGTATTTCACAGCCCCTGTCACTCTGGAGTGTGGGCACAATTTCTGCCAGGCCTGCATCAGCAGGTGCTGGGAGGGACCAGGCTCAGCTGCCTCCTGCCCGCAGTGCAGAGAAACTGTGCAGCAAGGCCCCCTCCGGCCCAACAGGCAGCTGGCCAACATGGTAGAACTAGTCAAGCGGCTGAGCTTGCAGGCACCAAAAGGAGCAGGAGTGGATGGGGTGTGCGGGGAGCACCAGGAGGCTCTCAAGCTGTTCTGTGAAGAGGATCAGACTTCGATCTGTGTGATTTGCCATCTGTCCCAGGCTCACCGTGCTCACAGGGTGGTGCCCATAAGGGAAGCAGCCCAGGAGTACCAGGTAGGGAACTGCTGCCACGTTGAAACTACTGTCTATTTGAGAGTTTGTCTGCCTGCATCTGTGTGTTGGCCTGTTTGTTCAAGCACTCCTCCTAAACAGTGAGAGCCAGAGCGGCCGTGGAGAGACACCTCACCTGGTCCCAACCTGCTGCGGTGACAAGAGGGCTGGGGTAGTGCTCTCCCCAAACTATACCCTGACCCCCTCCTGCCCAGCCCCACCCCAGAGCAATGACTGAAATGAAGCCTGGACATTCTCACATTATTCTCCAAAGTATAAAAAATGAGTCAGAACCTGAACAATGCTCTAGTAATAAAATCAGCGCTCTAGCTACAGAGGCAAAATCTCAGCTCTTTAAAGATGCGGGATGTGGGAAACTTTCCCTAGAGATGCTGAGTCAGTTTTTCCGAAAAAGCGGCTGATTTTCCGGAAAAACTGGCCAGTGTGGACACAGCCGGGGTGGCTGTGCTGGAGACCCTGGGTCCAGGCCCTACTGTGCCCTTGTGCAATGTCCCTTCATTTACTAATAAAACAACTGTAAAGGGGCTCAATACTGGATTGTCTCTAGGGCTGGGATTGTGAAGTCAGGGATAGTTACAGGGCTGGGAAGGCCCTGCAGATATAGTCTCAATGGGGGTGAGTGCAGGGCAGCTGCAGGTGACATGGACTGAGGGATCCATCTCTCCAGCCTCCCGCTCACAGTTCCCAGAGGCCACTTCCTCTGGCCACAGATCACTGCCTGCCATGCATGTCTAACTAGTGTGATTGCAATTCTCAGGCAACATGTTCCCCAGCAACTGTCCCCCTCCCGCTCCCTCTGCCAGTGGTCTCAGAGCTCTGTGTTTGTCCCACACCAGGTACCTGCAGGCCCCGAGTGCCAGCTCCCTTCCCACCTGCTGCCTTTGGGTCCAGCTCTCCCCTGGGGACAGGAGCTTGTTTCGTGCACCAAGGAACCCTGGCTGGGTGAGGTGAGGTTACCTTTGCCCCTTGGGCCCTGGCTGAGACCCCGGCACATTCCACACAAGCC